ATCGCTGTCTTTTGTTGCCTGATGCCCAGTGTCAGGAGACTGTTGTTTCTTATATTTTGTCCTCTGTGGATTTTTAAAATTTTATTTAAGTTTCGAGTAGGCAGTTAAGTCTGCTCCCTGAACTCCATCTTGACCAAAAGCCTTCTATAAAATATGTAAGATTGTGAATATTTCATCAGTGTTGTATGTTTCATAAAGACTTTACATATGGTTATATGTCATTGATTTACTGCAATGTGTGATGGCAAGTGGAGTGGAGAGAATGTAGAATTAATAGTTCCTTTCCCCCAGCCCTCCCTCTCTTTCCAGCCTATGAAATCAGTCAGTCTGGGGCGGAAGGACTTTCACATATATGTGTGACCCTTTGAGGAGATAGGGAATTGGGATGTGCCCACTGTCTGGCCATGCTCGCAGCTCTTTCTGAAGAGACTGTCTTCTGAATGCACTGACACCAGCACACACACCACACGTGGGCTTGCATTGCCCCAAGGGTCGGCCAGGGGTGGTGCGGCAGGGAAGGGGCTTAGATATAGATTCCACTTCACTAACTCATTTGCTGTGTTACCCTTGCTTGATAAATTAGGGTGATGGTTGGCTCTGATTACTTAGGCAGTGATGGAACAGGACTCAGGTGCAAGAATAGTTCCTTTTTCTTCCTGTATTTAAGTAGAAAGAGTCCAGAAGATGGAAGACAGTTGGCTAAAATATAACAGCACATTGTTGTTTATAAGAGAGCTGCTTTTTGTTTCTTCTTCCTTTGTCATCAGGTTGTTGTGAAGGACTCCATCCTTCATACCTCTGTTTTTACATGAATTCCAGGGTTTGCCTATTCATCAGCTGGCACCTCGATTTAGTAGTATGCCATTTTTCTTGGTAATAATATTTTATTGTGTTTTCGGTGAAAATTTACACAGCAAATTAGGTTCTCATTTAACATTTTCTGTACAGCTTGTTCAGTGACGTTGGTTACCTTTTTCACGATGTGTCAACATTCTCATTATTTCTGTTCTGGTAGTCCCGTTTCCATTTGGTCTCATACAGATTTTTTTATAAAGGAGCATAGTACTCATAGGTGATATTGTTTATTTTATGTGCCAGTCTGTTATTTAGCTGAAAGATGACCTCCGGGAGTAGTTTCAGTTTAGAGTTTAAAGGGTCTCTCAGGGTGATAGTCTTGGGGATTCCTCTAGTCTCAATTGGTCCATTAAGTTTGGACTTTTTAAGAATTTAAATATTGTTCTATATTTTCCTCCCATTCGGTCAGGGTCCATCTATTGTGTTCAAAATCAAAATGGGCAAGAGTGGTAGCAGGGCACCATCTAGTTCTTCTAGTCTCAGGTTTGCCCTTTTTCTTAAAGGGCTAGATAGTAAATATTTTTGGCTTCCCGAGCCGTATAGTCTCTGTTTTAACTGCTCAACTCTGCTGTTGTTGTTCAAAAGCAGCCATAGACAATACATATTTGTGAGTGTATTCCAATAAAACTTCATTTAAAAAACAGGTGGGGAGGGCAGGATTTGGCCCATCAGCTGTTGTTTGTTGACCCCTGCCATAGTTCAAGCCTTTATTTCACTGAGTTATTTAATATTTCTGCCTGGACCCCCCTATTATAATTGCTTCCAGAAACCATTGCCAGTTTTACCTTGCTTAAAACACAGATTTTTATCATGTTACTTACTGCCTAACAGAATTATCTTGCCATCAAAGTCATCAATTTGACTCTTCTTGTCTTCCTGATCTTATCTCCAGTGATTCCCCCATCTCTCAGCTCATACGTCGTGTTACAGCCACTCGTCTACTTTATGCTCCCTGATATTTCCTTAAGCCCTGCTTCTTCAGAAATGCTGTTATTATATCATATGTACCTTCTGAAACCATAAGCCTTTTGTGGAAACCCTATTTCTAGCCCACCTTCTTCTTTTTTTAATCGTGATTAAGGTGAAAGTTTACAGAGCAAGTTAGTTTCTCATTCAAAAATTCATACACAAATTGTTTCATGGCATTGGCTGCAGTCCTGCATTGTGTCAGTATTCTCCCCCTTTCCCTTTCTACCCCGGGTTCACCGTGTCCATTGTCCCCACACAACTTCTCATCTTTGTTCCTGGTCCTGTGTTGCCCATTTGATCTCGTTATACTTGACTGCTCTAAGAAGCACATTCCTCGTGTGTGTTATTGTTTGTCTTATAGGCCTGCGTAATCTTTGGCTGAAAGGTAAACTTAAGGAGTGGCTTCACTTCTGAGTTAGAATGGTGTCCAGGGGCCATAGTCTCAGGGGTTCCTCCAGTCTCTGTCAGACCAGCAAGTCTGGTCTTTTTTGTGAATTTGATCATTTGTGCTACATTTTTCTCCTGCTCTGCCCGGGACCCTCTATTGTAATCCGAGTCAGAGCAGTTGATAGTGGTAACTGGGCACCATCTAGTTCTTCTGGTCTCGGGGTCGTGTAGGCTGTGGTTCCATGTGGTCCATTAGTCCTTTGGACTAATTACTCCCTTGGGTATTTAGTGTTTTTTATGCCACCTTCTTTAAAAAGCATTCCAGAGCCCCTCAGCTGGAGATCATGCCTCCTTCCTTCATGTTTGAAGTAGTCTTATGTGGCTACCGCCATTTGTTCTTTACTGGAAATCTGTGTGTGTGTGTGTGTGTGTGTGTGTGTGTCTGCCCTATTGAACTAGAAACCTGTTGGAGGGAAAAGTGTGCCCCCTTGTTTCTTCTCGTCTACAGTCCAGTGCAGAGACCGACTCAGAGTAGAAACTGAGCAAGCATTTGTTTGAAGTGACACATAATAAGAATGCTTATGTTGGAGGTGTCTTTGCTCTATTGACTTGTAGTGTCATCATACGGCTCTTGGCACTTTCTTTGGGCTGAGTGTCCAGGCCCTCCCTGAGCAGGTGGGCTGTGAGAATGCTGCTGGTCCCTCTGCCCCGGGACTCTTGGTGGCAGAGCCTTGCCACTGCCAGGTCGCTGCGCCTCCTGCCACTTCCTCAATGGCCTCTTGCTCTTTGGTTCCACAGAGCTGCGGTGCAACCCCGGGCAGTTTGCCTGTCGCAGTGGTGCCATCCAGTGCATCCCCCTCCCCTGGCAGTGTGACGGCTGGGCAACTTGTGAGGATGAGAGCGATGAAGCTGACTGTCCAGGTGAGTCTGTGGAGCAGGAGGCACACAATCACCCTCCTCTTTGTCACAGTGGGTTGTGCTTCCTTGAGGGGAGAGGTGGTGTGGACTGGCAATCTGGGCTGCTTGCAAGCATTAGAAAGTTATTTTGGCCACCCCCGCCCCCTTTCTTTTCTTTCTTTCTGTCTTTTTGTTTAAATAGGTCCCAGACGTAGGCAAGTCCCAGAAGTTGCAAGATGGCAGGGCCAGGACAATGGTGAGGCAAGAGAGTCACCTAGGACACAGGAGGAGGCACAGCCAACCCTGGCTTGCATGATCCTGAGAGCGAGCGCCACCGTAAATGTTGGCCCCAGGTGCCTCTCTTACCTCACTCCAGGGCTGGCTCTGGATGTTGGTACCTTTTGAGACTTGGCTAGCATCATGAAGAGTGTGTTATTTTAAACACAGGTACTACCATACCCCTCTGCTCCCATTCACTAGTAATCTTCCATGAGTGGATTTTTTCCTGGTGTATGGAGATGATGGAGTTGTCACAAAAAGTCTACATTGTTGGTTCTCCACCTGTTTCTGCCCCAACACATCTACATACTACATCTGTGGTTCTCAACTTGCACTAGGGTGGAAGGCATAGCATCTCGCCTGCAAGTATGTGTATGTGTGTGTGTGAGACACACACACACACATTCATACTAATTTAAGACCCTAGTGATTCTGATAGAGCCCCTGAGAGGAAGCTGTGTTTTATTCCGAGCTTAAGAATCACAGACGTAAACTCTTCAGCCCAGCATTCAGATTCCTTCATGGTGTGGCATACCTGCTGATTTTACTTGGCCAGTCTGATTTATCACTACTTTCCCTTTAACAACTCAGCTGGGCAGTTTCCTGTGCCCATCCCATTAATTTACTAGCTGCATGGTTTGTTTATGCCTTTCTCTTTTCCTGGAATTCCTTGTTCTCTTTCTGCATGTACAAGTCATGCCCGTCCTTCAAGGCTTGGCTCAGATGCTACCACAAGAAGGCATCTCTGGTTTCTCTGGTCATAGGTTTGCTTCCGCCAGCACCTCATCTGTCGCTTTCTTACAGCTCTAGCACTGTCGGTAGTTCTCACCATTACTTGTACCCATGCTTAATCTCTCCTTCTAGACTGTGAACTCCCTAGGGCAGGAAACTTTTCCCCTTCCTCACTGGGACCTGGCCTGGGACTGGGGTCCTTTCAAGCATTCAGTAAATGAAAGATGTTGTGTAGTTCCTATGTGCCAAGTGCTGAAGAAAAAAATGATTAATTCCAACCAAAGGGATCAGGTAAGGTATCAAATAGAAGATGACATTTGAGCTTGGGATAGTTCTTTTCGGGGAGGTGTCTTCTAAAATAGTAAGCAGAGGTGGTCTAATCATACTCTATTTGCCTGTAAAATAACAGTTTTATAGGGGACTCCTTCTAATCCTGCCCTGGGCCTCTTCTTCCTTCATTGGATTGTACATGCTTGGTCAAGGTGTTTGTGCCCTTCCAAATGAGAATTGGAAAGAGTGGGCAAGTGAGCTTTCCAACGCTTGGTATGCAGATGTTCTGAGGTTGGTCACCCTGGTGAGGACCAAGGGATCATGACTGGAAGCCTCAAGAATTTTCTGAAGGAAGAACCAAATGGTTCTTGGCTGGCTTTAAAATGGAAGCACAGCTTACTTGCTGTTGTCAAAGTGCCTTTTGGCTTAGCTTTTAAGGTTGTGTGTAATAACTGTCCTGTTACAGGTACTGAAAACAATAGTAATCACACTTGTGGTTGTTATCTTGTTCTTCTGTCCATGCACCATGGACTTGTTGAAGGCAGGAAGTAGGCCTGATTTCTCATTGCAGCCACATGACCTGGCATGGAGGAGGCCTCAGCCCAGCACTTGTGTGTTGGCTCAGATTTACATAGGTCACACACGGAGCTGAGAGTTCTGAGTGGGTGGCATGCTCCAGGACCATAGTATTGAGGATGTGATGATGGGAGGAGCATATGCGAATGCACTGAGGCATGACAGGGCATTGGTGTTTTCAAGGAGGGGTGAGGAGGCCATAGACCTATTAGGTCT